ACGTGCTTGAAAACGTCGGGTGTGCATCACTGAAATGGGAAAAAAAACGACAAATGCAAAACAAAGGAGGGCGGTGCATTGGTTTAAGAAGGCCAACCCAAGGTCGAGAGGCAGGAGAAGGAGAACAGGTGGCGGGTGACCTACCTCGGGGAAAGGCGAGCGAGTGTGGTCCCACTTGAGCAGGCGCAGGTACGCTTGGTTGTGCACCGTGAGGGGGGACAGAGCGGGGGCCCTGAGGCCTGCCGCCCCTGCGCAGGGAGGGCTGGCCTCTGCTTCCACATTGACGAGAGCGTTTGCTGCATCCTGGAGCCACTTCTGAGTAAAGTCCAGGGAGTCTGGAGAAAGCCGAGCTTATTACTCTGCAGGTCAACATCTCCGAAAGGGGTCGTCTCATCGCACCAGAGGCACTCTTTAGGGCTTAGGCTTTTGAGAAGGCCACATGCAAACTACTGAGTAATTGTCACGTATTGTATGGTATTTGATTAGGTGCCTAAAGTGGAAAGGTTTTATCAGGAAACTAAAACTTGCCTGTGGTATCAATCACATCAGTCACTGTAAACTCAATTAGTAATAAAATACCTACAGCGTAATCAAGAACGTAATCTTTTAAGAATCTCATTTTCCATACAAAGATGAGTATGTATAACACACCTATTAAAATACAAAGCTGTTAATAAAAGATTAATGACATTCTTATGTATGTTACAGGCAAGTGCCACTCACTGCAAAGGCTTGTGAAAGAACAATTTTAAACAAGGGAAGTTACTCACTGGGTTGTTTTTCAATGAATTCCTGGAATTTCTTCCTCTCGTACTCAACAGACTGCTGCATTAAATGTGGTCTAATGCTGCTTACTGCAAAATTAGCCATATCAATCTTCATTAAATCCATTACTGAGAAAATGGCCCTGAAAGACACAGAACACATCTATAGTATCTGTATCCTGATGTCTCTTTAGAAAACCCCTACAGGAGGCAATACCAGAAAAAAATACAAATGCTTCTCTCTTTACAACCACTGGACAGTATACAGAATATTTTAAGTACAACTTAACCATTCAAATATAATCTTTAAAGATTCAAATTTCTTTACTATAAAACAGAATACGACAGAGGGTGTCAAATAAGCGTCTCAAACTCTCCTAATGTGGGCTTTTCAAAATACTGTCGCCAAGCTTTTGTATTCATGTTTCCTTCAATGCTTAGTAACTACATCTTTAATAATACCAGTTTAATTCCACAAAAGTAGCTCATACATACAGTGGTTATTAATGCAACCATACTCATAAGATCAAAATTAGGCATGACTGATTATAGTCAACTTTCACGTGCACGTTCTCCCGTACTTGAACAGAGGAACAATGGCGGTGATGTCACGCAGCTTTTTGATCTCCTCGTCTCGAGCTGGGGCGCACAGGGTCCCCATCATGCTGATCACAAACTCCGCCACCTTGTTGATGTCCAGGGCTCCGTTTTCTGCCTCTTGCCTGATCAGCTCCAGGTCCAGAACCTCGTTAATCTGATTACGCAGGCGGCTGTGGCCAGGCAACAGGAACGACAGGAGAGTCTAGGCACAGAGACGCAATCCTTCAGCAAACCGGACTGGCGACACATTGAAAGGGTTGTGGTTCGGGATAATTAACAAAGCAGAGAAAAAAAAACACGTCTCGTTGATAACGCTGCTGTGGTCTCACGTCAACACTCAGTCAAGCAGCTCATCAATACTGACTTAAAAAACAATGTGTCCAGTTTGATGATCTGAAGTAGTAAATAAACTTAGAAAAACCATGGTAGCTATACAGTTCCAGTTTGTCTAGCTATGTGATTGAAAATATACAATTCAATTTTTCCTTCAAGACAAAAGTAATGTTTTCTACTCCTCCAAACTACCTGGCCATGGTGGGACTATAACTTAACACTACACAAAAAATGTACATTTTTCAACAAATGAAAAAACTAATAGCAAATAGTACTTATATTACCATGTAATGTACTAGAAATGGAAAGGACATGTAATGGAAAGGACATGTTATACAACCTTGGCACAGGAATGCATTCATAGACACTGGACACATTGTGTGCTGTACTGTATAAATACATGCCATAACTAATCCTGACAGGTGTAATCTTTGTGAAGACCTACAGATATGTTTAAAAATGCAGTGCTTGACATTCCCAGAAAATGTATTACTTTTTGAATTACAGTAAACTGGCAGATTTACATTTTAAATTCAGACATTTATCACAGACTGCAATCAAAACAGCAAAGCACAAGGGAGAAGAATGAAGAAAGGTACAGGATCTGCAGCCATT